TTGGCAGATCGACGATTGAAGGTGGGCGAGATAGCTAAGATTGTAGGCATCTCAAAAGACCGCGTGGGTCATATCCTGCATGAAATTTTGGGCATGAGAAAGCTGTCAGCGCGATGGGTGCCGCGTTTGCTCACTCCGGACAACAAGCGCAACCGTGAGACAACTTCAGAGCAATGTCTGATGCTGTTTAAGCGCAATCCGAAGGAGTTTCTGCGTCGTTTCGTGACAGTCGACGAAACATGGATCCACTGGTATACACCAGAGATCAAGGAACAGTCGAAACAGTGGACTTTACCCGGCGAAAGTGCTCCGAAGAAGGCGAAGACTGCCCCATCGGCCGGAAAGGTGATGGCCACCGTTTTCTGGGATTCACAACGTGTGATCTACATCAACTACCTGGAGAGGGGCAAAACGATCACAGGGCTATACTATGCCGAATTATTGACGTCGAATTGCAGAAAAAACGGCCCCATTTGGCGAAGAAAAAAGTGCTCTTCCACCATGACAACGCACCGGCTCACACCTCCGCCGTCGCCATGGCCAAATTGGTCGAATTAGGCTACGAACTGCTGCCCCATCCACCGTATTCTCCAGATTTAGCCCCGTGCGTTTTCTTTTTGTTTCCAAACTTGAAAAAGTTACTCGCCAGGCAGAAATTTGAGTCGAATGAGGAGGTAATCACTGCCACGGAAGCCTACTTTTCAGACCTCGAGGAAACGTATTTTTTAGACAGGTTAAAGAAGTTGGATCATCGCTGGGCCAAGTGTATCGAACTAAAAGGAGAATATGTTGAAAAATAAAACGCCACTTTTCCAAAATTCTCGTTTTTCTGTTGTAGGCTAAGTATTGATCGGACCACACTCGTAGAAATAGCAGTGTTCTATTTCCCACATTATGAAGGTAAACATTGTTTTATGAGATTTCTCTGAATCTAAAAAAAAGATGGATACAAAAGATAAAAAATTCTGCTTTTTTTCTTGTATATTTTAGTACGTACTAATGATTTTACCAATTTTTTGAGTATTTTTGTTTTTTGTTAAGTTTTGGAGTAACTATCATATAAAATAAATATGATGAGATAGCTAAATTGTAATAACAGAATCATATTTAGAAGATCAGCATTCATTGGATAGCATATACAGCACTCCACATATATGATAAATTTTTTGTATGCATTGTTTCAAAATTGGACTCTTGAAAAAGAGATTCAAGTATTTTGCTATACCAGTCCCTAATGCTACTTGCCTCTTTTATTCAACTAATAAAATATATATCACAAAGTGAAAACTATGATCACACTATTTTGACCGTTAGCCTGCCACTCACACATGTTTTCTAACGCGGCCAAAATATCTTGACTCATCGAAATTGCTTGCCTCTTTTATTCAACTAATCAAATAGGAATATCTGACAAACTGAAGACTATCATCACACTATTATAACCGTTAGCCTGCCACTCAAACGTGATCTCTAACACGGCCAAAATTTCGCATACATGAAAGCTTGTTTTTTCTTTCTCAGATATTCTTTTTCTAGTATACTAAAATTCTTCATGAAAAAAATTTTATCCATCCTATTGAGATAATTCGGATGCAATCAAATATCGAGCAGAAAAGAAATACATAATAATATGTACATTTTATGAAAACTTTACTACCATATTTGACCCACCGTTTTGAGTTTTCTACACCCAAGACTCATTTCATCATCAGCGATCTCAAAAACAAGTGATCACAGCTAAGATAACAGAATTTTGTGAATTTTCCTTACAATCAGGCTGTATTCAGCACCTTCAAAAACCCCTACATAGATATAAGCTCAAATAATTGAATTTTTTTCAATTTTTCTTACAATCAGGCTGCCATATTGGATCCGCTATTTTGAATTTCCGAAGTCTGATACTGGATTCGTAATTAGCAACCTTGAAAACCCTCGCATACCAAATATCAGCGAATTTAGCCGTAAAATGAGGTCAAAACCGAATTTCAATAAAAATATCTCCTTTTTTTGTTTGTTAATTGTTTATAAAGAATTATATATAGTATTATTCTGAATTTTGACCTAATAAACCTGTTCCTCAAGCATCCAGTGTTCAAACAAAATAGATTAAAGCGATCTAAAGCTCAGATTATTCAAGCTATAAAGAAAAAATTGAGGAAAAATAAGATGCCAGAATACTGGCACACGCCCCTGAAAGGATTAACCCATTAATACTCGAGCCGAATTTAGCTGAGATAGCTCCAAACTAACTATTCCATCCATGGCGTAGGTAAAAAAAGTTACCCGCGTTTTTTCTTTTAGCGATCTCAATTGTTTATCAAAAATTATTTAAACAACTTAAATATAACGGGTTTGGCATCACTCGTTCAGGTTGAAATTATTTATCATAATTTTACAACAACAAATGGAGCTCTGAGAAAAAAATGTCATAGAGGTTTCTTTCGGAATTTTTCTCGTAAAATCGATTGCCGTTATTAGTTTTTTGAACTACAAAATTTTTTGATAATTTGTTTAAATAATTTTTGATAAACGATTGGAATCGCTAAAAGAAAAAACACGGGTAACTTTCTTTTTACCTACGCTATAGATACAGTAGTTTGGGGCTATCTTAGCTAGATTCGGCTTGGGTATTAATGGGTTAATAGATGATTACAATTACTTTTTAATTGCATTCACATTCTTGAATCTCTTTCATAAACAAATTCTTAATGACGGACATCATAAGAATATTTTTCAAACTATGAAGTTAAGATTGAACATATCAAATAGATTGAAAATCCTTGTTTAAGAATATAACCTCACTATGGTTAAATTTTCGTATATTGAAGTTAATTACACAACTATGGATAATAAGGAAAATAATCAGTTGCTTTAATTTCCTCAACTTATGATGGATAACTTGTATTATCTCAATCTTAAACCATACCAGATAACTAACGCTATATATTACTATGCACAACATCAAAAAGAAGGAATATTTCTCATTTACAAGTTGGAACCAAATCTCCGTTATCAAGCTGCAAGTATAAATTATACAGATTATATACTTTTAATTAAAGCTTACATGAAATTCCAAGATCTCCGAGATTAGCGGGAAACACTATCATATTTTCATATTAATGGACAAATCGAAACATGGTAGAGACTCGAATATTATTATACATGCGAGAACGGGGCTAGAACTGATGCAATTTATAATTATACTATGACGATTATATAGTTTCTTGGATATCGACAATATAATAATATTCATATACCTAATTCTGATATTTGCAATGCATCAATAACGATCCCTAAAGAGCAAAATGCTAGAGAAACTGAAGCTGAATGATACTAACATGATTCAAATGTAAACTGATTAGTAAAGTGCACTGTAGATTTTCTATGTACTTATAAGCGTATTCATTTTATTATGTGAAAACTCTCGTTCATATATAATATACGCAGATCACACATACATTTTCTCTCATCAAGGTTATACACATTTCTAATTATTTTATGAATACGAATAATATTTTCTCAAAAACACATATTTATACTATTCCATTCACACGCGAATCATATGCATCGGATTCAAACACTATACATATAAATTTACACAAAATATAAAAGAAAAAACAGAAAAATATTGTAAACCATTGTATACACACCGCAATACTATTAATGCAACACTTATTTCCGAATAAAAAGGGGCACAAATTCAAAGATCGATATTTCAATCAAAAATGTCGTGAGAGGATCAACTTTTATTTAGAGTAAATGTTGAACTCTCTACAATAAGATGGTTAAACTCAATTTTTGATTAGATGCAACCACTACTTACGTAATCTTAAAATTCCAGGTCATTTTTCAAAGCTCAGAAATCGTAAACTTTCGCAGGAAACCCATGCGTGGGTATTTTTTTAAATAATTCTGATCATCATATATTTAAGTACAAGTTTTTCTTATTAATTAAGAAAAAATTGTCCTGCTTTAATTTTTTTGACGATCATACAACGTTTCAAAAATTGTATTAAAAAACGGATTTTTTTGCGTGAAAAATTTGATAATTTCAATCCACTCAATCAATTAAATCAGCGATGTAGAATGACTCGGCTTTTTAGATGGATATCTTAGGTTAAAAATGCCATATGCAAGGATTCGAATGATATTTCTTGATTAATTAGTCAGTGTTTGGTCCTAAAGGTTAGTAGACGTGTTAAAACTGTGCTCTACCCGAAAAGCTATAGTATTAGCAAATCAAGTGAAGTGACAATTAAATTTAAAATTTATTAATAGTACCTCAAAACAAAAGAAAATAACGTCGGAATGGCCACTCCAATAGGAGTTGATATGTCTATTCCTAATGAAAGCTAAACTCAAAACTGGAAATCTGTAAACAATAAAAGACAGAGACAATACGCAAAATATAACTACAGACTTCAAAACCACCCAAATAAACTTGTTAACAAACTTTTCAAGACATATATCGTCAACACTAGACTGCAGAAACGTAAACTAATAAGTACGCAAATAATTTAATAAAATTATTTCAATTATACTCTAAAACAACGACAGTATATTCACTAGTGTTTACCGTTGAATATTATATATATATATATATATATATATATATATATATATATATATATATATATATACACACACATCTGGACATAAAATTATCTGCTTTCTTCCAAATCTGGAGTCAAAAATTTAATTGTACGTAAATTAAAAATTCGTCTTCAAATACTCTTGGACCTGACGTGATGGAGACAAATGGAGGTCAGATTCGGATTCAATGTGCCAAAATATATGAGAATATCCGAGTTGTTTTTTTTTGTATTCTAGTCACATTTTGTAGATCTATTTATGTTATTAAGTACCTAATTATGTTATTAAGTAGATTGTCAATTCGAATCAAATTTCTGGTCAGTTGCGTAAACAAAAACATCATATAGCCAAAACTATCTTTAATTAATTATAAGGCTTTGGAATAATTAGTTTGATAGATTTTCTTAAATTTCTTTAATGCACTTATTATAAAAATCAAATTTAATTCATTATAATATCAGAAATAAGCCTTTCATAACCTTCAACTAATAGAGAAACTGAATAAGAATATGTTTCTAATTTCACCGTTTATTACATGAAGCATCCTTGAAAGCTAAAAACATTGCTCCAATATTGTAGCGCAATCAGCATCATTCATCTGAAATATATAATCATTGTCAGTATTCTAATAATGTATCTAAATAAAGAGATCATTCATATACATATTACATATTTTACTAATTATTACCTAATTTATATACAATCGTAGTCCGAGATGGTATATAAATGAATATCCTATGCAATCTATTCGCAAATGGTTCTGGCTTTGTACAATGTAATACATTTATATCAATGCGATCATCTCCGCCAAATTCTAAGTTATCACTATTTAAAACAATTTTATACTTTCCAGGTTGATTTACTCCTACAGGATAATCAGCAAATGATTTGTAGGGATGAAAGTTGAATACAAATACAAGGTTTGCTCTTTCGAATGTAATTATTTTATCATCTTCATGTTTCCATGAAACGTAGGCCTGTAAAAAGAACAAAAAATCTTGGACAAAATTTATTATGTAACACATGATTAGATGCAAAATATTTATATCGATTTTGTAGATTTATATGAAAATTTATTAAATGATAAATTTTGTAATGATGGAAAGAAGGGAAATAGTGAGAGATGGAAATTCACTTAATTTTAATTATATTCAGCAACGTTTCGTCAGCACATTTGCTGACCTCTTCAGGCTGATTTCTCTCGTAGTCAAATTATTATAGGCTAAAACGAATAGATTATAGCACAGTCGAGTTACTATAAAGTACTTTACTACGATCTAAAAAATTATAAATTATAAATTATCAAGACAGTATGTTACGTATATGAAAATTTAATTCAAGATTAATTCCAGATTCAAATATTCGCAACATTATTTATAGATTATATTTACGCAGAGAATGGAGGTACAATTGCTCAAGCTACTTGTAAGTAATCCACCAGTTATACGGGTTACATTGTTCGCACCAGTTATGGTATAAATATGTGACAGGGCGCTGGTTATTTCATAGCCCGCCCTGTTTGCTGCTCTTTTCTGCCTTCGGATCTCTCCTTTACTGTTGCTAGTATCGGGCATTGAAACCGTGCGAACAGATTACCGATGCCGAATGTCGCTTTGCTTGTTAGCGGTATAAGCATACTTGCCCTTAAGTAAAAATTCGAGTGTTTGTTTACATTCGGCTGGCCAGTCTACTATTACGCAAGCAAAGAACCGAGCGCCAAGTGAGAAAAACTTGATCTAGAAGAGTGTGTGCGACTGTAGAGCAATTTGAATAAGTGAAGACCACCGTTTCACTGTCGTCGCTGCACTGGGTTATAGGCGAGTTGTTTTTCAGACAAACGTTCTGAGAATCACTGTTCACCTACTGTTGTTGTGTACAATAGGCGAGGGGGTTGACAAAGGCGTTGGTATAGAACGCTATGTGAATGTTTTTCAGGCCCATCCGTTCCAAATAATAAAGTTTTATTGTTGCATTGGGATTAAGAAACTCCGATGAACGGGTGAACCCATGCCCGAGAGTTGCGGTTGATGCGTTGTAGAAGAGATGTTGTTGTTTTGAAATTCGGAATTATTGACCGTTAACCCAGGTATAAAGAGTGGTGCGTAGAATAGTGCGAGGAGTAATGGTGCGTCGCACTGCCTCATTCCGGTATAGGTTGGTATTACGTAGTCGCTGTTTGCAACAGTTGCCCTTTTAAATAATAAATAATACGAGTGTCGGTGCGTTAATATGCACCCAACTTTTCAAGACAATCCCAGCGATTTTAAAAGCTTAATTGGAGAGTACGTATAAACTGTAGTTTTTGTGTTGATTTGTAAAGTAGCGTTAATAAGTACGTTGCTCATCACTGCTAGTAGATAAGTAACGTATTTTTCAAGCCATTTCGTGGTGGGTTCAGATGGCTTGAAACATACATAGAAGTTTGCGCATGCATAAGCGCGCGTTGCGCAGGCGCTATGAGTGATTGGAGAGTAGATGGTGCCTGCCGATAACACCCTAAAGTTTTTTACCTAGACCCGATCCCCCAGAGTCCCTCCCCTTGACCCAGATGCCCTCCCTTTTACCTTAATAGAAAATGATATTTGAAGTTGTGCAAATTATCTTAAACAATACTACAAAGATATCAAACTTATGTTACACACTTGATGTCTTTTGAAACGCAATTTAATAATTTCATAAAAGTCGGCGGAACTATTCAAACATCTCGGTTAAATATAGATGAAATTACAGGAGATGGGGTTGTTTGGATACCAATTCATTATACTTTTAGAAATCGTATTAATACTATAGTTTTAGTAAATCAACATCATTTGGATATAAAATCGTTTTTAATTGAAACAAATAAACTCTTATAAAATCAAATACCGAAGTTTCTAGCACAACGCATTTAAGATAAATATGGAATTTTCAGCTCAGTTTATTATTAAAAAGAATAATGAAGAAGATTATAAAAGTAGTGATCTTATTGAATGGTTTGAAAAAAAATATTAAAGACGTCTTACCTAAGAATATAGAAGAATATCAAGAAAGAGACAATGGTTGGTCATTAACGAGTATTGTGAGGCTTACAGTTAACATAAATAATCACAATTCACTCAAACCGTGCTCATATATTGCATTATCTAAGGTCATAGAATTAAGAAAGGCTTGTACTAATGTCAAGAGTACCTACAACGAATGTTTCCAATAGGCTGTACTATCTTGTCTTCATCCTACCGTTAGTTATAGAAACCATAGTTACAGAACCAGTAATTATGCGTGCTTTGAAAAAGAATTGAAATTTGATGATATAACGTTTTCTATAGAAATAAAAAGTATTTCTAAATATTCCAAAATTGAATAGTTGAATGACATATCTATAAACGTTTACATTCTTAACAAATATAGAAAAAAATTTTAAATGTCACCGTGTCATGTAAATAGTTCAAAAAAATTCAAACATGTTAATCTTCTTTTAATTTAAAAAGAGTATACTGATGAATATGATAACAAAAGCCAAAATATTTATAATGAAGAATCAATTTCAAAAGCGTTTGTTGGAAATATACAATGATATGCGTATTCAGTGACTACAACCTTGGTTCTGCTAGAAAGTGCATCATCCTTTGTAACAGCTAGTGTATACGTTGTTTCACACTTTTCCGTTTTGAGGGTGGTATAGCGTAATCAAAACATTTCTACCCCTCTCTCTGGGCGCCAATAGGTTGGCATAGCCCACTGTCTTTCACCCCTTCGCTTTCAAATACATTGGGGATCCGGAAGTCAAGTTTGCTACGACATCCCTGACGCACTCAGCGAGTCAGAACCTTTTTGATCTAAGGCGGTGACCTCCTCGAAAGGAGTACCGATCTTTTCACGGTTCGACGCTCAAGGAGAGCGGAACTAAAGGCTTCACCCTCGGTTTGGGGACTCTAGTTGCCCCAACATCTTCTGCGTCGGAAGCACGCAGCATACAAATCTTACGCGATTTGCTTGACCTGGTACCACTACCCCGCAGAGGTCAATCCAAGGTGGGATGTCAGAAGAGAGACTCAGCTAGGACAGCCAGAGGAGATTCCTAAGACGATCAACCAGCTAAGCCTCCCCTCCTGGGCTCGCGTTCGAAAAACATCCTACTCTGCGTACCTGTATTAAGGGATTTCTCCCACGACTCACAGGTCCATCGCTTCGACGTACCGAGGCACGTCTTCCCATTGCGTTTCGGTCATCCCCGCTCACGCTGGTGGGTATCCGTCATTCGAAAAGTTGTTGTTACCCCGTTTTTGTCCCAAAGTCAGATCTCGCTTTCTAAAGAATGGTTATTATGACTTGGCTGGTACTGATATTTGCTCTTTCGATTTAGTTTTTGACTGTTATGTCAGGGCGGGGTCTCGTCTAGCCGACAAGGCGATTCCCCAGGCAGTTTTCAGTATTCTTGTCGGTCATGCCACGCATTCGGTTCAAAATTCCGTCGTTGGGTTAAATGGGGTAATTCGCGTTCAAGTATTCGAGCTTCAGAATTTAGTTCTGAGGTTGATGTTCAAAAATTATCGTTCAAAAATTTCAAGCTTTATAAGCTTGTGTATTTCTTCGCTTCCTCCTCTTCATGGGTGCTCCTTCCCTGGGCTCTATGACTTTTCTAGCAAAGTCTCCAAAGGCTTTGTAGATTTTCCTGCTGGATACTAGGGCTGATTCTGGGCAAGGCCATATGTGACCTTCTTCTTCAACAGCCTCTATTAATGGCTTTCTTAGTTCCCTTAATTCTTCGCAGTTAAAGAGAATATGGCTTTCGCTTTCTATTTCTCCACAGCTACACAGTTGGTCTTCGCATAGTCCTCTTTTATGGAGGTATGACTTAAAAGCACCATGTCCAGTCATGAACTGTACTGTGTAGCGGTTGGAGTTTAGCCACCTCTTCTTTAATCTATCTTTGATTACTGGGAAATAGCAGTACGTTCTCCTGCCATTTGTGGCCGACTGCCATTTCTCCTGCCATACCCTTTCGATTTCATCGTTGATGAGTTGTATGGCTTTCGAGATTTTTAGTCTGCCCGATCGAAGTTCCTCCGATTTAATTCGGATGCCGTGCATTTTAATCGATTTCCCTTTCCTGACGCAGTAGTTTACAACTCTCGCGTCAAGATTTAGAGCTATCGGTCGGGAGACTGCAAGCATGTGCGCCGCTTCATGAGAGATCGATCCTGTAGGCTTTGAGTGTTTTGCAAAGAACCGATCGTTGCAATCTTTCTAAAGCAGATTGCTGTTTGATGTTGGTCCTTTGCCACCAGCCCGCAGCGGCATATGTAACTTTCGATAGTAGGAAGCCATTATATATCTCTTTCATAGAATTGAATTTTAGGCTCCAATTTACTTTTGCTATTTTACTTAGCTCGAAGTAGGTGCTGTTGCAGTCTTGACTCACGTTTCGAATATGTTCTTCCAATCGGAAGCCTTTCGAGATTGTGATTCCTAGGTACTTGACTGTTTTGTGCGTTCTAATGTTCTCTTTCCCAATTTTGACTGTAGGGTTCCTACTCTCGCTTAGTTGGCCTTTTAGCCATATTAGTGCTGACTTTTGTACTACCAAGTTCATTTTGTCAGACTTGCACCAGTCCGTCATTATATTAATGATTTCTTGGGCTTGTCTTTCAAAGTCAATGCGTGTTTTTGCCTTAATGATAGGAAGCACATCGTCTGCGTAGGCTAGTACTTCGTATCCTGCGTCCCTGATTGCCCGGAGTGGTTTGTCAAAGATGACGTTCCAGCCTATCGGTCCGAAAACTGAACCCTGAGGGCACCCCTTCGTCACTGTTTTCAGTGTTTCTTCGAAGTGGGCATATATGCCCACTTCTCGATCTCTGAAGTAACTCTGGAGGAGCTTATAGATGTTTCTCGGGCAGTTTCTTTCTTTCAATTGGGAGAGCAGGCTTGGCCACCATAAGGCATCGAATGCTCCTGAGACGTCTAGTGGAATAGCGGCTACGTACTTGGTCGACGG